AATTGAAAATGAGTGAATTTAAGTAAAATGGCCGGTTTCAATTTAAGCTTAAGCTTATAAATGGAAGACAAAGTAACTCCGACAAAAAGCACAACATAAGCTTACGTCTTGTTCTGTTTTTCCCCTTCCGCTGTTGTTTCGCCGGCTCTCCACAGTTTTCTTTATCGACAGTGAAACAAACGAAACTATTCCACTCCATTTCTGAAATGTTTTTCACTTTTTTAACGAGAAAAAACTCTTTAAGAAAAACTTTTCTCCTCAAATGTGTGCGAAGCGGCGCTCAGCAGCGCAAGCTGCAACAAAAGGAGGGAATTTTGGCGCGAAACTCACACACCTCTGTGGCTGCTGATTGGACGTATAATTTTTCTCACGTGTGAAAACCACAGTTCACTCCTCTGATTGGCTAGAACTCATTTGCGTATCAAAATTTACAACTCAACTTTTTGGTGAGTATTTCTCAGCAAATAAATAATAAATAATACAGCGCAAATACATCTATTTTTTTTCTACTAGCTAATACAGCGTTCGGGTTCCCTGTGTGACTACCAACAAAACGAGAGAAAAAAAAAATACCGACTACCGAAGGGAAAAATATTAACCGACAACCAACATGGTCCGACATTGTAGGATTTTTTTCCTTAGAAATAAATCGTATTGTTTATATTTCTCATTTTTGTAAGCAGTATGCGTGAAGGTAAATCACTTTAAATCCCTATTTCGTTACTCATAGAATTTCCTGTCACCAACTTACTTGTGTAAAATAGTTTTATAACATAGCGCGCGTGCTTACCCTATATAAGTCCTATTGAGCCGCTATGAACAAAATAAGATGACGTAAGCATTTTTTTTAACCTGGCTGCAAAGTTGTCGTCTTTTAAGCTGCAGTGCAGTTTTTCCTTCTCTTTAAGATATGGAAGAAACCAGCATTGACCTTTTAGGTCCTGATTCAACAAGCAGCAAAAATAGAGCCGAATTAAAAAAACTCGCATGTTGCGCGTCTCGCAAATTTGTCGGAAGACCAGCTGCAGCAAGTTTTGGCCTAAAGACATTCACTTGGAACAGAACAGACACCAACTGGTCATCAACAACATTTAAAGGTTAAATTCCCGTTTTTATTGTTGTTTTAAATTTGTTATGCACTTTTGTTATATCTCCGGGCAATCCGACTGAAGCAGGAAGATTTCTCTCGCAATAACAACCCAAATTACACAAGAAGATATAAATTTATTACTCACAAAAACAACTGCTGCCAGGTCTTCTCAAGAAGCCGTAATGACCAGCTAATGTTTGGAAATGAATATGAGTTTAAAGGAGGATGAAAGTCGTCTTCGCTAAAAACATGTTTTCTGGATTTCGCCGCCGCAAATCCAAACCATACTCCACGACTTCTTACGAACATGTTAGTATTTTAACTTTAGGTGAACTTTAAGACTCTTTTACTTTTGTTTCTTCTTAGTTTCCATTGATCGTTAACGAATAAAGAAGAAAATTTTCTTTCTCAGTTTTACAGAAAAGCTACAGAAAGAATATTTTCATTCAAACTAGATGATTGTGGTGTGTTCGTAATCAGCCAATAGAAGCGTTTGTTATTGTGTAGTGCGTTACGAGAATTTTGTAGTTAATCAAAAAGCAAGTATTTTTGTCAGCTATGTTATAAAAAAATTTGCTCATGCTTTTAGCTGTGCGTATATCGAGTTATGGATGCACTTGGAAAGTTCAGAGAGCACTCAAGAAGCTAGCATCTTTCGTGCTCTCCAAACTTCCCGCGTGCATCCATAACTCGATATACGCACGCTAAGCATGAACAATTTCTTAAATAAAGTCGTGTAGGTTCGATTTCCGCTTTTTTCCAGGCCTCTATAGAGGACTGCCTATTTCGTGCCAGCAGCTCAAGCTCATTTGAGACCGTTCAATTGGTGCGCCTTTGTTTCTCCTCACTTTCGGAGAAAATTCAGGAAAGTGCGCGCTCATTTCCCGGAAAACAGAATTCAGTCATTAACAATAACTTAACTAAAATCCCATACATCGCATACATCCCATCTCAAAGGCTAGACTGGGCGTTTCCTCTTCGACCACTTATTTCTATTGATTATTGCGCTGGTCTGTGAACTGGGAGGAACTGGTTAAAGACTGTTCAAAGTGGTTTAAAGTTTAAGTTTAAGGTTCCATAAAATCAAATGATTAATCTACGCGGGATAAAGAAGTTTTACTGTTATATAGAGCTTAGAATTAAATGACGATTATTAGAGATTAACTTATTTTTTAATCATGAACCAAGATTTACTGATACCGACAAAGGTCGAAATTTTTAACCGTCAACCGACATGTGGACCTCCCGCCCACCCCTTCAGACCCTCTAGTAAAACATTTTGTGAATTTCAACGTTTTTTTGGAGGGAAAATGACGTCACAAGTTTGACAGTAAATTAAAATTTACATTTCAACTGACAGCGTAAGAAAGAGGTGATTTTAAAAGACCGTGGCAAGATAAAAACTAAATAATGTGAAATGTTTTGAAGAACATGTCTGATTGGTTACAGAATTATTAAGCTTTAAATTTTGAATTTCCCGCCATTTTGTTACTATTTTTACAAACAAAGGAAAAATTCAAGATGCTTTGTCTCCTCAACCAATTGAGGTTTTCCACAAACTTTTTTTCTCATTAATTTTTGTCTTGCCGCGGTCTTTCATTGAAAATCATCTATTTTTTACCTACCAGTTGAAAGTTATATGTTGCTGTCAATCTTGTGACATAAATCTCCCACCAAAAACGTTGCATTTCAGACTTTTAAACGACGGAAACGTAAATAATTTTATGTTCTACAACCCTGCAAAGTTTCAGCTCAAGAGCAGTTTACCCATACCCATGGCGCGTACGTTTTTGTTGCTGTTGATGTTGTTGTTTGTTTGTTTGCTTTTTTTTAATTAATAAACTAGCTTGTTACTTTTAATTACTCTTGGTAAAAACTATATCGACGGGTTAACTGTAGGCTAAGAAATTCTGACGGCTTTCATTTTAATATGCTAAATGGCGGCTAACTTTTTTATTTTTAACATTTTATATTATTATTTGTTTTTCGATTTTAAGGACGTGCGCGTCGAATGAGCCACATAATGATGTACTCAGAAAATGATTTCAACTAATAAAAACAAGTAACTTTCGAAAGAGCATGACGATGTAGAATCAGGTGTAAAAAATAATAACTAAATAGTTAAAGTTTAAAAGTTTTATATACCAACAGCTTGATAATGCCTGATCAATCAAAAAAGGAATTAGAAATGGTCACGCTCAATTGCGAAATATATCATTTAGTATCAACTGCTAATAACCTGTTTTATGGAAGAAGAAGTATTTTTATGACCAACTGACCTTGCAAACTGTTGCAAATGACAAACAGATAAGTTAAAAAGTCGACTTGAGCGAACGGAACAATAAATCCCAGCAGCCATGTAAACCCCAAGGCAGATGACAGCTTGATGTACAAGATAGAAAGGCTGGCCTTTTGATCTGTCACCCGTTGTGAGGACTAAATGGGGATAAAAAAAGATAAATGATAAATGAAAAATAAATAAAAACAGTCAATTTATAGGCCATTGTTTTGCCTAGTGTTATTTGACAGGTATAGGCTGTTGTATTGAAACAAATTAAAACCTCATCAGGTTTCAAGTGTGCACAAATCCCCAGGTTAAACCCTTGCTTACTATATGGGTACAGCAACAAGTCAGAATTCAGGCCCCAGTTGTTCAAACGTCGGATAGCGCTATCCACCGGATAAATCTCTATCCAGTGAATAGCGCAATTGGTTTCCATAATACTTATCCGCTGGATAGTGATTTATCCGGTGGATAGCGCTATCCAACGTTTGAACAACCGGGGCCAGGAGGATAACACTAAAAGAAGAAGGAAGGCATAAGACTCGTTGACTCAAGATTGATTTTTGTTTAATTATTAACGCTCCCAAGTTCTAGGCTGGTAACTTACCTTCTGAACTTTCCAAATGGACAACAGCGTGATAGTAATTACGACACAGTTAAACAAGAGAATTAGAGCCACAGGTGCCCCAAGGACAACGAGCAGTGCTTTGCCATTAGAAATCCAGCAGAAGTTGTCGCCTAGGATCAAAATTAAAGAAGCCTTATTCTGATTTCAAATATAAAGCGGAAGACAAGAATCACATATTACTCAATAGTGTTAAGTAAACTTAGTCCAATATCTATTTCAAAATAGCCGGTGGGGAAGATCGCTGTATTCTTTCACCGCCAAAAAACAAAACAAAACAAACAAACAAACAAAAAATCCTCTTGATGTTAAGTGTAGGTATGTAACATGAGTATCTGTTTAATCAATCAGTAGCTTACCGTATCCAATAAAAGCCGCATCCGAAGTGTCAAGAGCAAAGCTGATGATGACAATAATTGCAGGACTTATCCAAGCATAAATGTGGTACTTAATGAAGGCCGCTTTACTGGTGCGTGAGCGTGCTACAGAACGGGAGGTTTGTCCTGTGGCAAATATACAATAATTAGACGTTTCCTTGAATGTTATTCGTTGAAGACGAGAAAGTCAGCCTAATAGAATAACATAAAAGGTCACAGAATAAAGAAAAATGTACTTGAAACAAAAGCTGTTACACAAGAATGGATTTGATTTCGAAAACGCATACATAAACAGCTCTCGAATTGGATTGAGCCTCCCTCCCAGTGTCGTGTGTTTGCGGTATGGGAAGAGCAAAGTCCCAGTAAACAAGATTTTTAAAAGCTGTACACCACTACCTTTGGGAATTGCCCCATTCTGTATCTCGCCCTGTGCAGTCAAGGTAATCCTCAAACTTCAGTGCGAAAAGTGCAAAAGACAGTCATTCTTTAAATACCTTTCTTCGTAAACGTCTTGGCAACATCGAAGGCCATCACGCTCATCCAGAAAAATGTTGACAACAAAAAATAATGAAGCAGAATGGATACTGCCAAACAGAGGTGTGGGCGGTTAGTCTGACCGGACATTTAAAATAAAGTGTGATAAAACAACATGGATACTGACAAGCTCATCAGATTTTTTCCAGGCAGTGTTCTTAGCTCCGAAAATATGATATAGACTCCGAGAAGGAGAATCAAGGAAGTTATCGATATGGCACAACCCACATATGTCATTATCAGCCTTCCAGTTAACTTTTCATCTTCAGAGTTAAGTGTAGTTGTTTCTGTAAAATTCCTTGTGAGGTTTACGCAAACAAACACAAAGGAACCGTTAATAAAGTAACTTCCGTTGTTGTATGTTCTCTTATGCAATGGGATCCATATTGAGCCATTTGGTAAAACAGTTACGGAACTTATGCCAACTTTAACAAAGCCCGATCCTTCGCAGCTAATGTAATTGGTAAAAGATCCATTGATTGCAACTGGGCGATCCACAACTTGCAATCTCACACATTTCTCTGTGAACGGATCATACAGAAAACCATGACGGCATTCCCTATTCTTTACAATGGTGGTTTTATCCCCTATTTTTACAGTATGATCCGAGGAAGACGAGAAATCAAATAAAATATCCAAAGATGGTATTCCACCCACCGGAGGAGGAGCAGCAGTGATGAGACTGGTATTGCAGGTGCACAAAAACGCACTGATGTCGTTTCCGCGGCACATCTCACAATGAGGATTTTTACTTTGAATATTTTCACAAACGGGAAAAGCATAAAAAGAGCACAGACTGGATAATAGTGAATTTTCTGGCTCAGATTCTTTACACTGGACCTTAACCGACAAACACTTCTTTAGGTTTATGTTAGCACGAGGAACTGTAAATTCCCAATCGCAATTCTTTGTTAAAAAGTTCAACATCAAGGTTCTGTTTTTTGGAATATCGCTTGCCGTGATGTAACGCCTGTTACAGGAAGCAGAAAACTTCCAGTAAACTGGATTACTGGCGCGATTACATTTGGCACAGAAAATATTCTTGTAAACGATGTTGTCGTCAAAGTCGAAGACCGGCAGCTCTAAAGGTGAAGATGTTGAGGTGCATAAAGTTTTCAAGCTCTTATCAGAGTTTTCTGATGGACAGCTGCCAATCATTGTGTAGCCATAAAATTCTGTATTGCTGGTCTTAACACAGACATGCTTTAAAAGGTGACGCTTCGGTGTAAGGTCAGCCACACATCTGAAGATCAAAAATGACACATGGAAGATAAATTAATGTTAGATAACTGATGCGGTGGCCTCAACGTCTTCATAAGTATGCATATTACAAGTGTCCCGTACAAGACCAGTTTTATTGAAGAGGAGCTTGATCGAGCAAGTACACTTCTTTCCACATGTAAAGAAAAACTGGGTAGTGACGTTTAATTATATGGGAGCCTGGATATAAAGGGGGATTTTTTCCCCTGTTATTTTTTCTGAACTTGGATAAGGAACGCAAGAATTCTACTGGAGAAAATTTTGCAACCATATGGCAAATAAGGCTTTAACTATTATAAATGACCGTCTGTAACACGTCTTTAAAACCTCGGATACTTGTATCTTTGAAAATATCCCAACTAGTAAGTAGGCGCAATAAAATACTAAGGCATGTGAACCTGAGGGCAAGTTTAACTTAATTGCTCATTCCTTAGCTGAAAAAAAATAAATACAAAAAAGAAAAGTCCTCAGTTTTAAGATTAATCTAAAGATGGATGGCGAGCGTGTAATTAATTTAGCTTACCTTTGAAAATAGTCATAGCAACAATCACCAAGCTCCAGGCAGAGCTCATCGCAGTAACAAGGTCTCTGAAACATCCTTTCTCGAGCCTGGCTGCTTTCATTCAGTCGGCAAACTGCCTCACAGGAGTATTGTGGTGAGGGGCATAAGTTATTCACAGAAAATCTGTAGCGGGTCATATTAAGTTTGATAAGAAGCTCTTGTGTGCTGATAATCTTGTCATAAAACTGGACCACCAAGTCTCTAGACACTGAAATCAATTAATAAGACGTCATTTCCCAAAGCTATCAAAAGGTTTTGGACCAAAACAAGAAAGAACCAAAGCAAGGTCTTAGCTGCTGCACCAGCCCTGCAGAATACCCTTGCATCTAGAAAATATCTAGTTTTTCCTTCGTATGAAAGATACACATTTGGCAGGGTGTTAATCACCTTCATAACTTTATATCAAAGTCAGCGTCATCCAGCAACTGCTCAATCAAATGTCATGGTGTCTCACTGGCGTCAGTTTGCTTTAGGTTATAGATATATTCCGAATGCATGACAAAGCAGGATTTTTTAATGATTGTGGTCATTCTACTTCCTTTACTGGAGATAGACATTCATGATGGCACTTGAAATGTTACATTTTCTGAGATTCAAGTGATATAGCTTGTCGATATCCGTTCACATTTAAGCCACGTATAGACGGACACAACAACTCCCAACAATGTTGGGCTAACAATGTTGGGAGTTGTTGCGTCCACGTTGCCAGTGTTGTGCAAACAGCTGCATCAACTCCCAATAATTTTAGGACCTGCAGTGCATCGTGGGAAGGATACAACCCATAAGATTTTGGAGACCATGTATTTTGCACATGCGTGGCCCCAACAATGTTGAAAAAGCTGTACAGACAATAACGGATCCAACACTGTTGTGCTACGTTTCGGCGATCATAGAACAGAAGAAATGTTGGAGGTTGTTGGCCCAAAATTTTGACCAGTGTCTAACTTTAGGCAACAACTTCCAAAAATAGACGATAGCATGCAACAACATGGAACAGGGTGTGCAGACGGATACGACTTGTAACGTAGGACAATTTGGGGAGTTATTGGCTAGCAAATTGGCACGAGAATCTAGATATGGTGTTTTTTTGTTGTTTGTTTGTTTGTTTTTGTTTTTTTTTGTTTTTTCCAAATCATTCATGGTCTCGTATCGGTAGATCCATCGATTGTTCCTAAAGCTCGCATCACCAGGCCTTTATCTAGTGGTGTTATTAAATTTGTAGAGCCTTGATGTCAGACAGCAACTTATCAAAAGCCCTATATCGTCAGATGCGAGTACGTGTCTGGAACGTTACGTTGTTGCTGATGAACTGAGCCAGCGTATGAACGCCTAAATGATTGTAAACAGGCAACGGTAGAGTATTACAAAACCGCCTTAAGTAATTACCACTGTGAAAATCCCTGCACTTTTAAGTTTGTCTGTCTTAAATGTAATACGTGTTGTAGTCTTGCCCATATACTTTGTTTGATTACCTGAATGTATTTATATTATGAATAAATAAAATAAAATGTTGCGCCCGTTTGCACGGGGTTTAATAGGCTTTTTATCATTGTGTGTTCCATAAGAAATACTTCATCAGTACGTCCAGATATTACAAGGACTAACCTAGAACTGCTGGACTCGCTTCTTGAGCTGTGAGCGTTTTATTTGGAGAAGCTGTAGGACGCGTTGCGCTCGGCGAAGATGGCGACCAGGGTGGCAGTGGTGGGCTCGGCGTAGTCTGGGATGCTACCGTGGACACGCCAACAACAAGAAAAATCGAAATAACCCAATACATCATATGTCGTTCATACGTCTTAAATGGGACAGCAGACTGAGAGAAAGAGGATATTTACGTATTTGCAGGGTTAAGACTTTATTTAAAGAAAGTGACTAGTAATAGTTTGAAAACATTAAACCTGTGGCCCTGGAAACAGAGAAATAGTTGGAAAAAACACTTCACAATGTAAAATGCCAACATATTCAGATCGTAGCCGAATGGTGCACTTAATTCCAGCATTCAACGGTAGTGATTCGTCAGGAAAACAAAAGACGAATATGCTGCGACTTGGAAATTCAAAAATACCCTTAACAACTCTTAACCCTAATCACCTGGAAACCACTTCGAGTATATCTCAGCGGAGAGGTTTAATATCAATTATCCACGAACGGCCGTAAAAAAATAAGCCTTACCTGGCATTATAGCCCTTAAAACAAAGCAAACGAATAAATCATCTTTACATTACGCCTGGGATAACCACTTTACCGTAAAACATGCATTGTTTTAATGGCTTAGAGTATTACGCAATGCCAAGAATCTTTACCGAAAATATATAGATATATTATTATAATGTCACAATCTTCACCAACGTCATGATTGTAAGGAGATCAAGACGAGGATGAATTACGTTTACTTGGTTTTTATATTGGGTGGGATATCGAGAAAGAATGTAAGCAAATTCATGCCTAACTGCACGACCTGTCAACGCTCTGCTTAACATGTATGCATACACTTGTACTAAACTCAAATACGTGCAGTAGTTTTGTACAGCAATAAAATAATTAGACCTCCTGTAATATGAAAAATAGGTTGTACAGTGAGTAATTGAATTTAAGAGCTGAATGCTTTGTTACCAACTTAAAAAAAAATAATAATAATATATATATATATATATAGCCCTCGAAAAAGATTCATTTGATAACTTGATATTTACCAAATTTAAACAAGGTTCTTTACAAACGTAATATCATTTTCTAACCGTTATTATCAGGGTTTATCATTAGTCTTTACCAGAGCTGAAAAGCCCCAAAACACTAACAAATTAGTATTATTATGGAAGGAATCAGTATTTTATAACAAAGATAACGAAAGGTCTAAATTTTGTTGTTTATCGCTATAATCATTCGCTTTTTTGTAAAAAGAAATTAATCCTAGCAAACTTTCTTCAGAACTTACCTGCTATATATGGATTAAAGAAGCAGAGAATGTAGGAAAGTTTGATGCAAACTTCGTCATTGGCCAGAAACTCCTGACTACCAATAATAATTAGATCCTTTTTATAAACTTGACCTGTTCCGTTTTGTATGTGTGCTGCAGCGTGTTGTTTCATGTGCAAATTGGGGATTACTACTAAATTTAAATAAAAAGAGGAAACAAAATGAATCCTGGTATAATTGTAGCAAAATGCATGACGCTATCGTGAAAACAGCAGTTCTATGGAGTGACAAGTGCAAATACTAATTATAACCTCTCATATAGGTCTTCGCATTTTAACTACAACGATAGTGATTTCTTCATCTCTAATACCTGTGGTTGCTTATTGGACTAGTTTTCTAAACTAAATAACCTTTATTTATCTCGTAGGGAAAAAATATCACTCTGGAAAACCATTCTCGGCGTCTTAATAACTCGACCGCAAATGATTAAAATTCAAGAAAAAGGCTCTATAATTAACATAACGATGGATACCATTTCACAACTTCGTTTTTAATTTGACTTTTAGCGCCCTCTAGTGACAAAGCGCCCATGTTGATTAACAGGAAAATAGACATTTTTTGGCAGAACTTGAATAACAAAACTGACTTTTGTTACAGGCCAAAAGAAGCGCTATAAATATTTGTTCAGTTGTCAACCAACATGGCCGTTGTAAGGTCAGCTGCAAACCAAATGCAGTATCCTTTGTCTAGTGTAATAAGTGTACTCATGTGTTTTCGCATTGGATTTCTAATCAACCGCGTCTTGCTCCCGTTTAGAAGATGGATCCCTGGTGTTATTTGGAAGCAATCCCTTTTGCATGCGAATAATCAGGCACACTTTTCAATAAAGTTTCTGAAAAAGTTCGAGTATAGCCCAATAAGGATTTATCCAAATATTTTCAATATTTCTGACCGTGCAGGAATTTCATGTTTTCCTTCTCGACCTCGAAACTGATGTTAATGTTATTTACCAGTTTCCCATATGAAGGGCACGAATAAGGTACGCTGTAGCCACGAAACACTGACTAAAACTGACGCAAAAGGAACATAAAACTTCTTCAGGTGAGGTCATCCGCCATTTCAAAACGTAGGTCAATCAAATCGTTGGGCTTGCTCATAAAGCAAAAAAAAAAAAAATTAATGGTCGTTTTACACCATTAAAATCTTCAATGTTGCTTTTTTACCTCCCTTTTAAGGCGGCTATCGTAAATCGTCACCATCTTTGATATCACAGTTTTATGCCCAGTAGGTGATGCGCAGTGCAGAACTAGTTATTCACCTAATAACTTCACCGATGTTGAAATTAAGTTATTAAGCACAGTATCCCACGCTAAAATAACAAAAAAAGATATAAATTATGAGCAAAGCGTCCAGTTTACAAAACTGTAGTGAAAGCTAATGCTTCATTCTTGTTTCTGTTTGTTGTCGTATTCTTGCCAGTATTTGAGGTAGTGTTTGTTGATCCATCAGACTTGGGTGGCAATCTCCACGCACCTTTCATTTTAACAAGAGTTCTCTTATTTGCGACAAAAGCAAGGAAAATAAAGAACCCTGAAAGATGAATTTACCACAATTGGTCATTTGTTGAAGTCAATCAAACAAGCGATGCACAGTCTTTGAACCATAACAGTGGCGGGTCCAGACCTCCCGATAAGGGGAGCCGGGGCGGGGGAGGGTTCATCCACACCCTGGGATAAGAGGAGGGCCCGGTGTTAAAAAAAAAAAAAATTCTGCCCTTATTTGGTCCTGGAAAATAAGGGGGGCCCGGGCCTGGGCTCCTCTCCTGGATCCGACACTTCATAATTACATCATCTATCCTCCGCAAATGACATCCCCTCCCCCCCCCCCCCCCCTAGGTTTACCTTCATATATGGGATAAACAGATGTGTTGGTGTAAGAAGTATGTTTTTCAGGCAATTAAGTTTGGAATAGGTATAGAAATAAGGGAGCTTGGGTCTAGGAATTGGTCCAGTCATTTTATGGCAAAAAGTAGCAGGTTAAGCTTGAACTAATTGCAACAGATGATGTTCTAACAGTTTTAGACTCAGAAAACTATCCTTAATCACATATTGGAAGCAAAAGGTCCCAGTGCTCTCATGATCGAATCTTTTGGGTCTTTTAGTCATCCGTTTACTCTAATTCTAAATGATTGGTGAAGAAAAAACTTCAGTTGTAATTAGTTCCTGGTCCAACCACGAAATGAATGGACTAAATAGACCCATTGTCCCGGAAACTGACCAACTGGTTGAAGATTTTAGTTTCGACCTGGGAAACCAGAATTGTAACTAAGAAAGATAAAATTGGCAAGTCGTCGAACTTAATTAGTAATTTCAAGAAAATAGCAACTACAAAACGGGCGTAGATTTTGGGAGTTCTGTCCAGTATATAGACTAGCAAAAATTCCGCCCAACTAGGTCTGGTATAGGCTAAGGGTTCCGGGGTTCCGGGGTCCCAGCGGCACTTCGCTACCCAAACATTCCTTAAAGTACCTCCCACGGAGGTATGCTTACTTCGGTTTACGAACTGACCTTGCAAGCTGTTGCAAATGACAAACAGATAAGCTAAAAATTCGACTTTGGCGAACGGATAAATAAATCCCAGCAGCCATGTGAATCCCAAGGAAGAAGACAGCTTGATATACAAAACTGGAAGGTTGGTCTTTTGATCTGTTACCCTCCGAGTAGCCTTAAAGGACAATATTAAAAATATATATTAAATGAATGAATAATGAATAGGAAAAAAATTATAAGAATTAAGCTACTACTCTTTTATCGAGTCCTATGTGAAAATTAAAAGTTTGTTAAATGAAATAAATGAAAACCTAATCAGTTTCCCAAAGTTTGGAGATCTCAACTATCAACGTAACTCGGAAATCAAGGATTCACCATCCTGGAATATGAATATAAATACGAATTTGAAAAGGATAAAATCAGTCGACCCTTAAGACAGCGGATGACTTCGGCTATATGGATTTTATTAACGCTTTCAAAAGCTATGCTGATACCTTCTGGACTTTCCATATGGACAAGAGTGTGATGTAGATTGCGACGCAGTTGAAACTGAGCAAAAGAGCCACAGGTATCCCAAGGACAACGAGAAGTGCTTTGCCATTAGAAATCCAGCAGAGACGTTCGCCTAAGATAAAGAAAGTAAAAGCTTTAACGCAGATCAAACAAAGAACGGAGGACACTTTTCCAGTTCACATTCTACTTTATTATTAGATACAAATAATTGCCTCAAACTGACCAGCGGCGAGGGACTTGGCTGTCACGTTCTTCCTTTTCTTCATAAAACCATCGATAATCAGGATTATTTTGCAAGTGCGTTCGACACACTGCACGAAACATTAGATTTACACAAATTTTTTCGGGGTAAATATGGTGCAAAAAAAAAGGTGCAAAGGAGGAGGAAATAAAAGACAAAGATGTTATACCAATTTGCAGAGGTCGCATACCAATTTACACGGGGTTGTGAATTCGTGGGCAAATGCGGCATTTACCATATTTGCCCTTGATTTAACCTAAGTTAAAACCTGTTGCACAATATTTGCACTGAGTAAAGCAGATAAATGTCACTAAAGTAGGGACGTTTGTACGATACAGTGAACAATGACAATGGACGAGTTTAATCAAGGAAATGCTGGGTTTGACAGAGTCACGGCCGCCTTTCTATTGGTCTTTTATGAAGCCGAAATATCAGCACCGTATCTTAAATGCTTTTGTATCTTTTTAAATACATAAAATCCGATTGAAATACAAGAACGTTGTTACAGAAACCTCCTCTAACTAATGAGCTACACACAACACAGCATCCAGTTTGAAAGGTAAAATAGCAGCTACAGGTCCTTGGACCGACTGATAATCGAGTCTATTATACCGTGAAATGAAATTGCGTATCACGATACTGAATTTTATTTTCACAGCCCATGCTTTACCATGAATGTGCAGTTCGCTAAAGTGAATATAAAATCATCGATCGCCTGCCTGCAGTTTTTCGTCGTTTCAACATTAAATTATCGCAATAGAACGCTCTCAATATCACTTATAGCATTTCTAATATTTTCTTTTCTTTTCTTTTTTTTTTTTTTTTTTTTTCAAAGCGCTCGTTCAAAGACTATGTGATCAAAAGAAGGATGGGCTCTGGGAACGAGCAGTCTAAGGTACATTTATCTGAGTAGACGTGCAGTCCTTGACCCAAACTACGTAGAATCGATTAATAATTTAACTTACCATAACCAATAAAAACTGCATTCGATGTGTCAAGAACAGAGCTGGTAATTACAATAATTGCGGGACATGTCCAAGCGTAAATGTGGTACTTTATGAAGGCTATCTTGCTGCTTCGTGAGCGCGCCGTGCTGGAGGCCTGCCCTAAATATTAAATATTAATCTTTATTACATTCAAATAAGAGAAAATTAGACTAACAGAACAAGATAAAATAATAGGGGATAGAATAAAGAGAAATCATGTATTGCAACTCAAGAGTCGTCGTGCACAGGGATGGATTTTGGTTTCGAAAACGCATTTGTAAACAGTGGAGACGTTACTGTTTCTGAATGGATTGAGCCTCAGCTCCTTCCTAGTGTCTCACAGTAGCGTCACAGGAAGAGAAGAGGAAAGACCCAGGAAGCAAGATTTGAAACATTTGGAGACCATTTACTTAAGGAATTTTTTTGTTTTAATTCTCTATCTCGCAGTTGTGCAGTCAAGGAAATCCTCTCACTGCGGCACTCAGCTGAAAGTATACAATGAAATCTGCCTTTAAATACCTTTCTTTGTAAATGTCTTAGTAACATCAAAGGCCATTACACTCATCCAGCAAAATGTTGCCAGCAAAAAATAATGGAGTAGAATGGATACTGCCATACAAAGACGTGGGCGGCTAGTCTGGCCAGACATTAAAAAGAAGGTGTGATAAAACAACATGGCGGTTGACAAGCTCATCAGATTCTTCCCAGGCAATGTTCTCAGCTCCTTAAAAAAGATATAAACTCCGAGAAGAAGAATCAAGGAAATTATCGATATGGCACAACCCACATATGTCAAAATCTGCTTTCCAGTTAATTTTTGATCTTTAAATATAAATCTGGTCGTTTCTGTGAAATTTCGCGTAAAATTTACGCAAACAAATACCATGGAACCGTTGATAAAGTAACTTTCGTTGTTATATGTTCTCTTGTGTAATGGGATCCATATTGAGCCATTTGGCAACAGAATTACAGAACTTATGTCAAGTTTAACAAAGCCCGAACCTTTGCAGTTGTATCTGACAACGGATCCTTTACTAGTAACGGAAAGACCCACTACATTCTCTGGTGCATACATTTGTACACATTCCTCTGAAAGCGGATCAAATAGAAAACCATAACTGCATTCCTTGTTCTTCACAATTGTCTTTATATCTCCTATTGTAACAGTATGATCTGAAGGAGAGGAAAAGTCAAATAAGATATCCAAAGATGGTCCTGGAGGACCAGCTGCACCAGAAGGGATATAGCCGGGAGGGGGATCGCAGACACACGAAAGCTCGCTGATGTCATTTCCGCGGCACATCTCACAGTGAGGATTTTTACTTTGAGTATCTTTACAAACGGGAAAGGCATAAAAGGAACAAAGGCTGGATAATAACAAATTTTCTGGATCAGATTCTTTACATTGGACCTTTACCGATAAACAGTTCTTCAGGTTACTGCTAATACGTGGCACTGTAAATTCCCAATCACAATTCTTAATTATGAAGTCCAACATCATTTTTCTGCTGTATGGATTATCTCCCAGTATTGTCGGGAGGAAATTTCCTTTACATGAAGCAGAGAAGTTCCAATAAACGGGGTTATAGGCGTTATTGCATATGGCACAGAAAAAGTTTTTGTATAAGCTGTTGTCGTGAAGATCGATGACAGGCAACTCGAGAGATGAAGAAGATACGGAGCACAAAGATTCCAAACTCCTATCAGAATTGTCTGACGGACAACTGTCAATTAAAGCGTAACCATGAAAACCATTTTTGCTCGTCTTAACACAGACTTGCCTTGAAAGGTCACGCTTCGGTATGATGTCATCCACACATCTAAAAAGCGAAAATGGAAAAGCAAAATGAAATCAACGTGAAATAGTTGCTGCAGTACTTTATCCTCTAAGTTTTTCTTTTGTTTGTTTTTGCTCTTGTTTTTGTTGTTGTTGTTGTTTTTTAATTCACTCAGACAGGGTCGAATAAGGTTTTGTCACATTATTGCACAATTCAGTTAACTCCATTATCTTTACCTGTAAAACACTGCCAAGCAGAATTTTTTTCGTAATTCTTCGTTTTGTCCTGAACAGTTTCTTCGTTTATTTGTTAAATTCCTTCGTTTGCTACGGAAGCAAACCGGAAGGCTGTTTTCATTTTGCTCGTAACTTACGAGAAAATGTATGAGTATGAGAGTAGCCAATCAGAGATCGCGAACAACGCTACCCACTGGCGTACCCACCATTTTGGGGAACGCTTTCTGTATACTCTGGAATAAAAACAAGTGCATTCAAAATTGAAAAAGGTCAAAATAATGCATCTAAACTGGCTGAAAGTAGTAGATAAAAATAGATGGTCAAGATGTTTGACCTGGCCACTTGGTGTACCTTACGAAGTAATCATAGCAGCAATCACCAAGCTCAAGACAAAGCGTATCGCAGTAACAAGGTTTCTGGAACATCCTTTCTCGAGCCTCGCCGCTTTCATTCAGTGGGCAGACTGTCTCACAAGAGAAGCGTGATGAGGGGCATAGGTTGTTCACAGAAAAGTTGTGGCGGGTCATATTTAGTTTGATAAGAAGCTCCTGTGTACTGATGTTCTTGTCATAAAACTGGACCACCAAGTCTTCAGACACTGGAATCAAATGAAACGTCATTGTTAAAAGCTGATTTAAGTTTTTGGTTTCCACAAAAATGATGATGATGATGATGATGATAACGATGATGACGACAACAATGACGATATGATGGAGATGATGATAAAAAAAAATCTTTCACACAAATAATTATGTAAAATATCGAAATATCATCACCTATATTAGTTTATCAGAATTGATTAATTCCTTTATCGATTGATTCTTCCAGTTCTTGACCATCAGCATTTACTTCAAAAAGTGGTAAGTTTGAATTTAAAAAAAAAATCAAAGTGTCTTTATTAAACAAGCAGTATGCAAACAAGTAGCATGCAAACCCATTCCTTAAACCCAGTCAATACAGACACTGAGGGGGCACAGAAAGTGTCCGAATTAACAGGGTGTCCGTATTGAGCGTCTTACATGTAGAAGAGCTTTCTTTCTTCCGGAACTGTCCGTAATATATAATGAGTCTATAAGAGGGTGTCCGTAAAGTGGGGTGCGATTGCAGCAAGCTATCACATCGTGTTAATCAGTGTATTAACGCAATATATTACATCTGCTTACTTGGGTCTGCTGGATTGGTCATTGTTGTTTGGACTGTTGTAAATGTGGACAGGCCAAAGAGAAGGAAAAGCGAATTAACCCAGTTCATTTTATGTCCCACAATACTTTTCCACATTCCAACTGCGGGCTGAGAGAAAGAGGACATTAAGGTATTAGTAAGGTAAAAACTGTTCTTTAATGAGGTGGTATTTTAACAGTTGTAAAACTTATAAGCTCGTGGCCCTGAAAACAACGAATTAGGGTACAATTATAAAATACAATAGGACTAACTATAGCGACTAAAATAATAACAATAACCTTCAAACCGTTCAAGCTGTTTTAGTAGTCCAATTAAGCCAAAATTCAATTCGTGCAGAATTTTCCTCCTTGTGCCCTGACAACATATGGAGAATTTATATATGGGAAACACAAGATATATTCATCCTAAAACATATTTGAATATGATCGCTCGATATTATTAAAATGCTATTTGACTGGACTTTACGCAATTAACTACACAGGAAAACAATGAATGGTCCAACTGATTAAAGAATTTGAATTGGGAAGAAAGCAAACACATTGAAAGTTATGTGATTAAGAAACAACTCGGTGAGATGTGTAAATGGCCTATCTGCTGAATGCCACAAAGACTCCGACGGCCTGCCCGGCACCCATATATGGACAAAACACACCTCATTTCTCTCACACAGTTATTATTATCATTTTTTTCTGCTTAGCTACAAGCACTTCACACAGGCAGGCCCGGTCATGCAGCTTGTCATGTTCGATGTCTCTTACGTGTATATTGACTGCACTCCCTTTAAAACTAAAGAAAATTACACAGCGGATTACCAATTCAAGTGTAACACAGTGCAAGAGTTAGTTCTTGATAACTTACAGAGAAGTCAAAAATTGCCAGGTTATAGACACATCGAATTGTTCTGGGATCACAAGAATGGATGTAGATCACGCGATACTAATATTGGGTGTCATGATATTTTAATCATTAAAATTGCACGAACACTTTTAAGGCCGCTCTTGTTGCCTAACATGTATGCAAACACCTGGGCTATAATCAAATACGTGCTGTGCTTTTGTACAAAATAACAAAAAAAAACAAGGATTTGTACAAAATAATAACAACAACAACAACAACAAGGATTGTGCGCCATCAGTGCACCATCAGTAAACACATTCGTGCATAATTGCTCAACCACTTTTAATGCTCTGACTTGTTCCCTGACATGTATGCAAACACCTGCGCTACAATTAAATACGTGCACCGCTTTTGTGCAAAACGATAATAATAATAGTAATAATCTATATGATATACGAGGAAGCTTTATATATAAATAAATTCAAGTTAAGAGTCGAAAGCTTTGTTACACAAGAAACACAGCTTAAGTTTACATTTTGTTTTTCAATTATTTTTTTTTTCAGCGAGAAAAATAAAGACCTTATTCCTGAATTAGTCAATTTAAACAAAGACAGTAGTCTACCAACGTAATATTATTTTCACTTTTTTCCTTTGGTCATTTTTTAGTCTTAACAGAGCTTTTAGTCTCAACAGCAAAAACTTAAGTTTACCATTATTTATACACAGAGATGCATTATCCTATTATAATTCCCAGAATATTAGAACTAAAATAACATTAAGTCAATGTTTATTATTAATCGCTTAGAATATAGCTTTTTTGCCTTGTGAGACGAGGTTATTATTTGTCATCTTTTAAAAGACGTGTTCAACTTACCAGAGGGTTTGAAATAAACTTCGTATCCAATGGCTTGCAGTCCTGACTAACAATTATAATAGGTCCTTTTCACAAACATCGGGTAAACGTAAATCTACCGACACACTTCGCCGTTTCATTTGTTCTTATGAGCAAATTTGTAATTTATAAATTCAAGTAAGGTTAAAACCCGAACTGAATTCTGGTATAACTGGTAAAACTGTACTTCTGTAGATTGAGAAGTGCAAACACTAATTGCATTTTTCCATTTAGACCTTTGCATTTCAATTACAACGATATGTGCTTCCCTTATCTTGAATACTTGTGACTGACTATTTTAAAACTATGAGGACAAAAAAAAATCCATTTCCAAACTCAACAAAAAGGCTATAATGAATTTTAATTATCCTAACGATGAATATCTATTTTACAATTTTGTTTTTTATTTTACTTTCACGCACCATTTAACTGCCCAGCAGTTGTCAGCCACAAACCAGCAAATAGCTTTAGATTTTCTATTGTGTATAGTTGTACGTATTGTATTGTATTGTGTATAGTTAGTTGTACGAGAGATAACCAAGAGATAACCATCATTCTCCCTTGCTATAGAGCGTTTTCAATTGACGTCAAGTCCGTCATACTAATGATCCAAAACAATGAAACGGCGGCCATGATTTGCATCAAAACGTTCAGAACATTCCTTGACAGGAAGGACAAGGGAGATAGTGCAAAAGATATACAGCTGAACATTGAGGGTACCTAAGTAAAAGATCAGGAAAGAGTAATTGAACGCTTGGCTGAATACTTCTCTACCACGGCCAGTGGAACTGGAGGGACAAACGTAGAGTCCCTTGACGATGGTGAATTTATAGATCACAGTAACTTAAAATCAATATCATCGATGATGGATGGATCAAACAATTCATTTCGCTTTAGACCTGTTAACTGCCAAGGAATCCAAGGAAAGTTGCAGGATACGATGGTTTGCAACCTAAAGTATTAAAACTGTTAGCTGAGGGGCTTGCACCCTCCTATACTGCGATTCTCAATCTAAGCGTACGCGTACAGTAGGGAGAGTGGGTAACACCATGGAAACGAGGGGAATGGATACCTGCATTCAAGAATGAGGACAGGCAAGAAGTCAGGAATTACAGACCTATCACGGTATTACCGGCCTTTGGCAATATTTACGAACAACTTCTGGGCAAACGGATATCTGAATATATAGACCCAATATTGAGTCATGCCCTGACAGCCTGCAGAAAGAACAATGGATTTGAAAGTACAATCCTAAGGCTTGTAGAGAACTTGTGGAAGCTTGTGGAAAAAAGACCTAGACTGAAAGAAAGTTGTGGGAGTTTTGTCGTCCGATATGAGCAAGGCCTTTGTCTGTCTTTGGTCTCCACTCCTGCCGGAAAAAATAGACGCCTGTCAGTTTTCAAATCTTGAAGGCCTTAAATTTGGTGCGATCCTATTTCTCTCAGCGGAAAAACAGGGTAAGATTGTCAAAGGTCTGATGTCAGAAGAGGCTGTCCCTGAGGATCTACATTTGGACCCTTGTTGTCGAATGTTTTTCAGAATGATCTAGCTTGATCTGACCACCATCAGATTCATCAGGTAATTCAATTGCTAAGGTAGAAGAGAGGCCACTACATAATGGAAACAAAATGACAAGCTGGTATGAAGAGAAAATTAACACCAAGAAATACCAGTCGATGGTACTTGGAAAAAGGATCAGTACAGATGCAATGGATTTACGTATTGGTGGCGTCCAAATAGAACAATCTCAAAATATGAAACTGTTAAGAATATCGACTCCGAACTAAACTTTAGTAATCATATAAGTGAACTATGTGGAAAGACAAGTCAGCAAATTGGAGTGCTCGGAAGACTAAAAAACCTTTTACCTGCCCATGCTAAATTGCAATTATTCAAAGTGACCATCTTACCACATCTAACATATTGTGGTACAACCTGGCATTTTTGCAGAACCTTTGACAGGCGCAAAGTAGAACGATTACAGGAGAGAGCTTTAACAATTGTATTCAATAGCAAACTGGACTCTTATGAGAATTTACTGAAACAGGCCAATCTTACGACACTTTACAATAGAAGGCTCCAGAACATAGCGCGATTCATATTCAAAGCTAAAAACAATCCATTGCCGAAGTATCTACAAGACCTTCATAATAACTCAGGAGGAAGAAAACAGGCGATATATATTGAGGAACTCAGACTTTACTATGCCCCGTTTTAGTACGGTTAAGTATGGGTAACACTCTCTAAGATACCTGAGACCTTTCTTGTGGTCCAGACTTGTCCTAACAAAGAAGAACGTGACAAGAACAGCTTGAGTGCTTTTAAACGTTGTATAAAGAAAAGAGATTTAACAAATGTAATTTCAGATGGGGGATGTATAAACTGTCAGTTTGCAATAATTGAATTAATCACTTGCACTTGTATTATTTTAGTCCTTTTTTTAGCTTTCAAATGTTTTGTATAAAGAGATTTAACATTATTTAATTTTAGATAGGGATGTATAGACTGCCAGTTATGCAATAGCTGAATTAATCTCTGGTTTATTTTATCATTATCATTATTATTATTATTATAAAAATTATTATTATCATTTTATGTATTATCACTGCGTGACCAATTAGCTACTACTACTACTACTACTACTACTACTACTACTACTACTACTACTACTACTACTACTACTGACCAGGTGAGTGAAAACACTCTACT